CACATCTCAGGTGGTAAGTTGTACGGAGAAAGTATAACGGACCATAATGAATACTGCATACCAGACTGTCCGTACGGACTAAATCCATCAGTACACAAACAAAGATACATATTCCTAGGCTCAGCAGCGAAAGCATCTGATGGATGTTGCATTTCTCCATCAACGGTAGAATGCGAGGCATGCCATCTCATATGCGAAGCCGTTTGTTGTGATTCATACAAACGCTTCAATCTGTACGATACCGGCATATAGAACATCTTTTTATACGGAGTTTGTCTCCGTACATTCTTATTCGGACGGTATCTGTTAGTCCTACAGAATTTACACTTAACCAATTCTTTTTCTTCACCCCAGTACAGCATGCAACCATTTTTGCAAACATCAATCTTTTCATAAGGCATTCCCAAATTCTTCAACATAGCCTTCGTATCATAATACGATTCTGGAGCTTCGTTATTTTTAGGTAAATATTCACGCAACGTTTGACAAAATGAATCCATGCAACTTTCGGTGATATTTTAATTCGTTTTCATACTCATCAATCTTGATGCAAGAGATAAACGTGACTGACCTTCTTTACATCCTTCATAGATAGGATGATTTGCCATATCCAACATGTCGAAAAATCGTTTTGTTTCGACATTTGGCTCTTCCTGATCTTGTGATGAGTTTTGCTCAGCCAATGCCCCAGAAAAAGCATCTGTCACCATTTCAGCATAAGGATTTCTTACATCTATATCTACATCATACCTCTGCTCGGGCGCCGAGACATGTTGTCCCGTTGTGATTGTCCGAACTTCTTCTCCATGAAATCGCCAAATATAATAATCTTCCACAAATCCCCTTCGAAATAGATGTTTACAAACATCTTCTAGACTGCGATATTTAAAATTGCGACAACTTGTACATGGACATAACATTTTTCCACGTTCTTGGCACAACGGCTGCATAGAAGCAAAATTCATAAATTGTTCTGAACCGTTAATGAATTCTTGCGTTACCTCTTTTGTAATTGAATCAACTCTTTCGTATATCCACTGCCGGGACGAACGAATATTCAGATTTGTTGAAGAAGCCATTTTTAGGAGAATTTTTGGTGAAAGAATAGTAGAAGAATGATTTAGAGAGTGTTTTGAGCGAAAAATGGTCGGATGGTTTAAATAGACAAATATTCCAACGGATGTCTGTTGAAAATCCGTTGGAAATAACGTTACCGTTAAACTTTCCAACGGATATCCGTTGGAACATTTGCTGGCCGATAATGTTCGTCCGAGGATACACGTTTCACACTTACGATCATGGAAAACATAAATCCACGTTCAATTACGGAGTTTGTATAAAAAGCGGGTCATCTGAAGATCCTGATTTCTTTGGGGTTCTTCGGCAGATTTTTCAACTCCAGTATCCAGGATTATTGTTATATATAGTTATAAATTTTCTAATTAAAATTTTGTTGTCCCTACAATGACTTTTGTTTTCGTTTTTCATTTGTTTCTTTTCAAAGAACTCCGTAGTGGTTAATTGGTTGTAGTTTTGGTTTTAGTGATGATTGATGCCTATTTTAGAGATTTCATGTAAGGGTGGGCATTTCAAAATTCAGTTTACAATTTTAACGGTTCGGTTCGGGAATGGTTTATTCAGTATTCTAAAATTTGTATCAAATTAGTACCATATATTATTCGATTCGGTACGGTTCGGTTTTGTTTTTTATTAAAAAAATTAGATTTTCTTAAGTTTTTCGGGAATTTTATAAAGTTCAGTTTGGAAATACGCGGTTCGGAAAAAATATCAAGATTATACAAAATATTATAAAACTAATAGAAAAATATATCTACTTAAAAGTGTCATAAAAATACATAAATTCCAATGTAACCGTTAACGTTTCGATTTTTCAAAAATGTTGTTAAAATCTAATCTAACAATTTCTACGGTGTTCGTTAGACTTATTTCAGATAAATAAGTTACTTCAAACATCAATGGAAAAACTATCGTTTTGGGTCTTGATTTGATTACTATAAATAAAAGTGTCGAGTCCTGTTACAATCTGGATATATCGTTTTATTTGAAATTCTAACTCTTTAATCGATGGTTTACGAGACTATATATGTGTCACGGGAACTAAATCAACTCATTCATCATATAAACGAGGACGAATATTGAATGATCATATAAAATAAATTTGGATGATAAGAATAATAGAAAGTAATTTAACAAAATCAAGACCAAATAAAAGAAAATACCTAATTAAATGAGACTCAAATTCATATATTTAAATTAGAAATGAATTGATTTTATATAAGTTATTGAACCAATATTATTATGATTAAATATATATGACATGCAAATATAATATAATATTAGTTTTTAGTTTTTTTAGTATAAAGATGACAAAACATATACTTTTAGAATTTAGAATATAATGTGACAAATAATAAAGTCCTAGGATTAGTATTGTATTTTATTAATTTGACTAAATTAAATAGATATCTATAAATAAAATATAGGTGATATTATACAAATTTAATATTTTACCAAAATTTAAATACGGATGATATTATAATAAATATTAGTATAATGTTAAATATATATAATTTCATCAATATTTCAATTTTATAGA